TTTTAATTAAAATTAATTTTTATTTAAAATGACAACGTTTTTGGGTGCCCAATCACACCCTAATCAAAGATTGGTGGCGACTCCTCGAACCATATGTTTTTATCGTAAATGGATTTCCAAATTTTTCGAAACGAGAGATTTTTTAAATCGCATTATTTTTAAATAAAAATTAACCATAAAGAAAATAATTAAACGTGATGTGGTTTTTTAAAATCTCGCCCCTCCCGCCGCTCAAAAATCGTTTCGATAAAATTATTACTAATAATTTAAATTAAATTAAAATGTAAAAATGTTATCGTATCAGCAAAATGTCTAGATTTATGATTTCCATCCATACGAAGCAGACCGTCTTCCATTTTATAACTGCAAACAAAATTAATTAACTAAATTACTCAAAAAATTAAATAATTAAATAATTAAATAAAATACTAACAAAATATTAAATAGAATAAAGTATACTTTATAAATAAAACTTAACGAGCTGTGAGAGAATTTAAGAGGATTTGAGAGGATTTGGTGTGGTGAAAATAGTTGAGAAGGAAGGTATTTATAGGGTGGGAGGGGGTGTGAACGGTTAGTTGGGGCGGAATTAAATCCAAAGGCGCGACCTATGCATCACGCCATTATGACGGGTGTCAGGTGGCAGGAAGTCGCGGCTCATGCACCGCGCTTTACCCTACGTGGCATAAGGCGCAGTGTATGGGTCGCGCCTTACCCCACGTGGCGCCATATCAGTGTAGGACGCGGTACATAGGTCGCACCTTTCTGCAAAAGGTGTTAGAGCGAGAAATATATCTTAATGGGTGTCTGACAGGGAAATATAAAAGGTAAAGGTGATTTTTTGGGAAATTCTCCATGAATGCCTCGAATATTTCACGATTTTGTCCCTGCTCGATTTGACGTCAGCTCGACGATCGGCTCGACCGAAGGAGGGAGTGGCGACGGCTGCACAAGCTGGAGGCTTAGGATGCATTGCATTTATGGTTCTTGATACATTGATATGGAGTGTTGGATGGATCCCGATTAATATTAATATGAAACCCTAATTTCCTAATGGGCTTTCGGTTGTTAGGCTTTTTGAATTTGTAATATTTAGACTTTGTAGATTGGACCTTCTTTACTCATGGATTTGGTTTTATTTATTTTAATATTAGTTTATAATAATAGTAGATACTACTACTAAATAATAATAATAATAATAATAATAATAATAGTAAATAATAATAGTAAATAATAATATATAATAATAATAGTATATTAATAATATTAATAATTATTGTAGTAGTACACGTTAATAGTGATAATAATGGTGTAGTAATAATAATATAATAATAGAATAATAATAATGCTAATATAATATTAATAATAGTACTAGTAGTAATGTTATTATAGTAATAAGCTCAGGTAAAAAATATGGTGATCACTCTAATCTATTGATCGATTAATACAGATTGGTACTATAGAGGCAAGGAAGACATTCCCAACCCAGTTTACCCTATTCGCAAACGTCAAGGTTCGAACTCCTGATCTTACTTAAAGATTTTTAACATAACATTTTAATATCAAATTAAACAAAATGTAAAATGGTCATTGAAGTATGAATAATTTTCGTTTTCAACATTGAAGTTTTAAAAATAATGAAACGGTCACTGATGTCATCGTTTTGTAACAAATTGATCATTCAACCATTAACAATCGTTATCGCAATCATGAAATTTTGATGTGGCACATTTGTACGGCTATGTTGACATCCTTTGACTTTAGAAATCAAATTTCACCATTTTAGTGATGAATCTCGTTAGAACATTCTCGTAGATTTTGAAATTTTATTTGGATGGATTAAAACTCAATCTAAAATGTAACTAAACATTTGTACTGTACAAGCATCAAATTAAAATATTTTAAATATAAATTTTGAAATTCTCAAATTAAAGTATTGTAACTTTAAACCCATAATTAAATTTATTTAAATAAATTTTAATTTTTTTAAAAATTCATTTTAACTCGAAGTTATATCTAAAAAAATATAAAATTCAAATATACTATCTGGTTACTAACTTGAATTTTGAGATGTAACAATAATATATTGATACTAATTGCTATAACTATAATAATATGATATAAACTTAATTAATTTAAAATCTGTTCCATTAGATAATTACAAACAAAAATCTAGATGACAGAGTACTAGAAATTCAATTTAGATTAACATTGTACGAACCAAACAACCTTATTAATTAAAAGAATGATTATTATCTTTAGAAGCCTCGAATTTAAACACTAACAATTGAACAATTATTATGTATAAAAAATCTCAAGCACAATTTAAAACAATAACTAAAGGCGTTTCCACCACTTTCTATTTATCATGCAAAAGGAAAAAAAGGAAACACATACCGAGGGATAAAAAGAAGACATGATTTGTACCTTGTCTCCTTGAGACCAAATCTGTATGAAAAACATGCTTAGTTGATGTTTGCCCTCCTCTTTTCCTTCTACAAAAAGACCGACATATATTCTTACTTACTTCCCCCATGGGCTCAGTCTTCAATCCACCCACATTTTCAATTCTTTTGGAATTTAATCTCAAAGATCAATCATTTTCATTTTGATTTTTGAGTTATTTTTAGCTTGAAACATAGAGGAAGTGTTTCTATAACATCTCATGACTTTGTCTATTGAATTCGAGATAGAGAGTATATGGTGTCTTTGATTATGTCATATGTCATAAGCTTCATGCCATGGCCATGTGCCTTTGATCATATGAGATTTCCTATATATATATATATATATATATATATATATATATATATATATATATATATATATATTATATGTGTGTGTGTGTGTTTATTATTTTTTGAACAATTCCTACTTAAGCAAATTAAATATTAGTAGGAGTCGAAATATTAAATTTTTTAAGAAAAATACAATGACTTATTATATATTTAAACTCAAAATTCATAAGAAAATGTCTAATTGTGTAATATTTAAACTTGTAATGACCTAAATTATTATTAGATAAAAAATTAAGAACATGAGATTATCCTTCTTTAGTTTGGCCCCTACTTGATTAAATATTTAATAAATTTTTTTTATTTTTTAGTCGAATACTTATTTTTACATGAACCAAAATACTATTAGACCAAAATCTATCGAATATATAAATTTTTTACAAGGATCAAGACCCCAACATAGCTTCGTCCCTATTCTTAAGGGAGGGAAAAGCGAATTTTACTTCTTATGAGTATTGAACTCACAACTCAGGAGAGAGAGAAAATATCAACTGAGAGCTTTTAACCTCTTTTAACCTCTTGTTCTAGATATTGTTGCCAATTTGGGCCCATAAGCAATTCTAAACATCCAAAATTTGATTTAAAATATGGTTGGAAAAGTGATTTTCAATCTAAACTCAAATTTCACTTTTAGGGTGAAATTACAATTTTATTGTAAATTATTTAATTTTAATTGGTTTTTAAATTAATACACATACATGTATAATTATTTATTAATTAGTTTTATTAATATTCAAATATAAATTAATAGAACTTTAAAGATTTTTTTTTACTTTAAAAAAGCACACACATACGCACATTTTATCTTTTTAAAATCAAATTTTAATAGTACCATTAATGTGTAACCTTAAATAATTAAATTTTAAATTATTATTTTAAATAATAATAATTAATATCAGAAGCATGTTTTTTACTCTATCTTTTTATAAAATAATTAAAAACACTATTTAAAATTCAAATATAAAACCAATTAATACATACATAAATCTTTTTCCACTATATCTATAATACTGATTTATTGAATAATTTTTTAAAAAATGGAGCATAGATACTTGAAATCGTTATGACTCCCTAAAAATTAGGTATAATAATTTCAATTATATTTTCTATACCTAATTTTTATTTACGCGAATTTATAGTTTATTCAAGGTGATCATGTATCCACTTTAAAATCTAAATTTTCTTTAATTAATTATTTATTTTATTAAAGGTACCCACTCAAAAATTTTATTTGAGCCTACTCTACTTAAAAAACTTATAAGTAGTTTTCATAAGTAGAATAAAAGCATTCACATGAATGTAGTGCAGTGTCCAGGAGAAAAGATGAATATAATAATTGGAGGTGTTGGATAATCTGACCGCAATCTCTTTAAATAATTGCATTAAAGTCTTCAAGTTCCCTCCACAAATTGCCAAAATACATATTAGATTCAAAATGTTGGCTTAATCACATTGGTTCAAGTGTAACAACTTTATCACTTTGACAAATGATTCATATTGGATTTGCATTAAGCTTCTTTTATCTGATTCAGATTTTTATTATTAATAATATGTTTTTTTCTGAAATTTTATAATATTTTTTAAGAATGAAGTTAGATTTAATTTATGAGGGACAGTTGATTAACTTTAAAATAAATAAGGTCTTACAAAATAATTAAATATTCAAATAAAAAGATTTAAGATTAATTCTTTTAATTTTAAAATTCAAATATCTTACAAATAAATAAGTCAGATAAATTTTGGATTAAGGCTTAATTTTATTAATTTTGAAACTAACAATATCTCAAAAATAATTATATCAAGAAATTTTGGGAAAAATTTAAACTTTATTGTAAAAAATTATAAAATTTTCAATCACCTAAAGTGTAATTAGACTATTAAAGTTAGGGGCAGCTGCCCTTCACGTCAATAATGTGGGTTCTTCTATGCTCCCTCATAACATAAAATTCTGTATTCGTTCTTAATATCTTTATAACATATAATTTTATATCCGTTCTTAACCTGGGTTAAGGAAGATTGAGTTAAATATAAGCTTGCAAATGGAAAATAAAGCATCACAAATTTAAGAGAAGAATTGCACAAAATTTCCCCAACATTCTATAATGTACAATTCAGTCCTCCACGTCCAAACACAAAATAAGAGATGAAAAGAAAGAAAAAGAAAGAACCCTACAGTTTCTGCATTTTCCTTAACAAGGGTATATGTCATACGCTTCTAGCCATCATTTCCTGGAATCTCCTGTAAGATTCTTGTTTCTCCAACCTAAACTTTTCATAGCAATCCGCAATGAACATCTCGGCTAGCTTATCGATCTCATTCATATCCGTTTCACCGGTCGAATTAACCTTCTTCTCTTCTAGCCATTGCAGGTAACCTGAGAGCTGTGATTCCACGGTGACTCGGTCGCATTGCTCCGTGGGAATAACCGAACTCCACGTCGAATCATAGTACAAATGTGGTGCGGTGCACCCTTCTAGGACCGGAGAGGGAACTGGTGTAACATGAGAAGAGCACCAATTATAGTGTAGCCTGAATGAACCAAAGAAGAGCTTCTTGTGCTTCTTTTTTGTGGCCTTGGAGTTGGAAATGAGATATTTTATAGGCTTGTTTTCTTTATAGATTTGAACGATGATGGATTTTGCCTCGGAAAATACTCGAACGAGACGGCAAAGTTGAGCATAGATGAGGGTGTGAGTTAGAGTTTTGATCTTCATTGAGGTTGAGGTAGAAGAAGGTGGTTTCATTGAGATGGAATAAAGGGGATCAAGGTTTTAATGTAGGAGGGACCAACCATGTTTAAATGGATTTATAAAGGGCCTTAGATTACTAATTTGCCACTTGACTTTTGAGTTATTTAAAACTTAGCCATTGTCAAGGAAATCGAGAAAATTGAAAAATCGATTTGAATTGTACTATTCGGTTCAATTCAATTCAAAATTTTCATTTTGTGGTTTGGTTTCAGTTTGATTTAGATATCTCATTTTACAATTCGGTTCGATTTCAATTTTTTCATGCGAAATTCGTTTGTTTTAAATCAAACCCAATTAAAAAAAGAAATAATGATTCAAATCAAATCCATTTTGAATATGTTGTAAACAGTCTTAAATTAAATAAACTCCTAAAACTAATAATATTATTTTTTATGAATTTAAACTTGTGTTTGAACTTTATGTTCATTTTTTATGCTGAGTTTGAAAAATGATGAATAGTTTAAAACTATAAAATTAAAACAAATCAAATCGAAAATTTCGATTTTTATACCATTCAATTTCACTTTTAAAAAGACTGCCTAATATTATATGATACATGTTTTATTGAAAAATTGAACCGAACGGAACCAAATAGACCCTTGTACTTTGCAGATTTGTTAAGGACATTAAAACACGTATATCATATAGTTGCAGAAGTTCACCCTGTTCAAAACAATAATTAAAACTAGGATGAGCATGGGACTCAAACTCGACGGGTTCCGACTCGATCTGATTGGGTTTTTTAAAAAAATAAGGTTCGGGTCGGGTTCGAGTTTAGGATGAAAAATATCCGATCCGACCCAAAAAATATAATTTTACCTTATATATTTAGGAATAATTAAAATAATACTCATCTACATTTTTTCAATTATGTCGTTGTTTTTATTGAATAAAAATAATATTTTTATTATTTCGGGTCGGGTCGGATTGAGTCGGATTTTTAAGTTTTATATAGGATCGAGATCAGGTCGGATCTCGGGTGGATAATTCCTCATTCTTGGGTCGAGTTGGGTGGACCAAAAATCTTACCCAACCCAAACCATGCCCATCCCTACTTCAAACCAAAGAAAATTACCCATTAATAATAATAATAATAATAATAATAATAATAATAAAAGAATCTTTAAACTAGTCTATGTTATGTTTAATTAATGATCATAATTACTGTAAACTATAAAATTAACTGCGAATTTAGTGGTTCTCAGTAATGATGGATCTACAATTTTACGAGGATAAGCACATAATCCATTTTCATTCTATTAATTATTTATTTTATTGATTGTATTCACTTTAAAATTTTATTTATACGTATTTTATCAAAATTTTTTTATACACCTACAAAAATAGTTTTACATCCGCCACGATTATCTTAATCAGCTTTGGAGAATTCTCTTCCGTTTGCTTCATAAGTGAAAATAAGAAGGGAATCTTCTTGGATTTTGGGGTATCAAGCAAATCTCAAGGCTTTTCTCCCATGAGACCCGCTTCCATATTTTAAAAACGTTATTTTTTGTTGTTGCTCTTTCGGATTTTAAGACTTTATCTAATTAATTTGAACTGATTCGGGTCACACATCTGGTTTTGGTAGACCAGTCTTTCAACGAGAGTTTTCTATATACACAAAAACTCAAACTCGAAATATGTTTAAACGATATCAAATTACTTACCATTTTAATTAATTTTGTCGGTTTAAAAACACTATTTTAAATGCCGTCAGTGGGGTCATTTCGGCATGTAAATAACATTTGTAAACCTTTAAAAAACAGCAGAAGCAACTCGAGAAACGACTATTAAGGCTTAATATCCGCCGGAAATCACCACTCCTATGAATAATATCAGTAACTTGGTTTTTGTTGTGATGCAAATGTCATTTCTTTAAGAAATATTTGTTTGTTCAACTAACATTTGGAAACATCTCTATGGTTATATTCACAATAAAATAAAAAGAGTAAACTACGAAGTGGCCTCAGTAATAAAAGGAAATGTTATTCTTCTTAGAAGTCCTTATTCGATCAGTTGTGTGTAGGGTATATATGCGTTGTCAAAAAGTTATAAAAGTTTTGAACAAATATTATCTTGGGTAAACTATATTTTAGTATCTCAACTATCACTTTTGTTATGTTTTGGACACGCAACTATTATTTTTTCCATATCGCCACTAACGTACGTTTTGGTTTCATTTTGATCATCCCAGTAACGGAGCCACAACTTGGTGAGGGTGGGCACGTGTCAACCCTGAAATCCGTATTTTCTAAGATTAGTTACTTATTTTATTGATGGTGTCCACCTTGAAATTTTATTTTTGCCCACCTAATAAAAAAATTGTGTTGTTAATATATGTGTGTCCACCGTTAAAAATATTTCTATATCCGCTAATGGGTCACCCGCCGTTAAAAATTAACAAAACTACTAATGTGATATATTTTCAAAGATGACGTGACATTATTTTATGGTGACACGTTAGCTATCACTATTAATTTTTAACGGCAGATGACAAAAATGAAACCAAGACTAACAATAATGATGATTTTGAAAAAAAGTTGAGTAACCAAAACAAATCGAAGTAATAGTTGGGTAACTAGATGCATAATTTACCCTAAAATAAAATTAAAATAGAAACAGATGCATAATTTCCTGGAAACTTTGCCTCCCGCCCTTTTCGCTTGAAGCCGAAATAGATATTAATTAAACTTGGAAAAACCTGTAGATATTGAAGAGCAATATTATACAATATAGGAGTAGTGGAAAAATTTGATATCACCAAACTTGAAAATGATGGGCTTTTGAGGAAGAAACAACACCAAACCTCATCTTTATCCACCAAAATTTTGATAAGGATTAGTGAGAATTTTTATAAATTATATTGTGGAAGATTGACCCATAATTATTTATAGAAAATGAAGGTAAACTTTCTCAGTTATTTTCGAGCTAATATTTCACTCACAATCCCAAAAATAAATAATTTATTCTAAGAAAGTGATGAGTGCAAATATATTTTTGAATAGTCTGGAGTGATTATAATGTAATATTTATTCACAATTTTTTTGATCAATTAACAACAAACGCAGCTGCTCGAACTCAGAACCTCTAGTGAGAACACTATTTCATTTTTCAAAAGTATGAAAAGCTTAGAACATAATACAAAGAATCCCATTAATGATCAATCAATTCAAAGATGAATGCATGATTTTATTTTAGGAGACGAATTTACAAAATTTATAGGGAATGAAACAAATTATCAAAAGAAAATATCTAAATATATGATAATTTAAAAATTTCAAGATAATGAATACCCACCAATCATCCTTCGATCCATCTTTGGGCAAATCTAGCATTAATTATAAATATCAAGTAAAATTCACAAGCATCCTATGAAATGTTTCAGCTAGCAGGAAACTCCCACAGGCTAACTTTTATCTGTTGAACAAATATACATAATCATTGATTTATTTTATTCCCTAAGAATCACAGAAAATTCATAGACATTCATTTCTGATATTAATCCTTTTTATCTGATATATATTATGATTATTTACCTTTTTCTCTATGTTTGAAAATTGAAATAATGGGTCATCTTTTTTGTACAATAACCAAACATGGTCCCCCAAAGATCATGCCAATATGTTTTGCTTTTTTTCCTATTTTCCTTTCATTGATAAGATTTAAAACTTGTAACTTCTCAAAAGTTGAGTTATAGTTAATTATATATGTTAAAGTTTAAATTTTAAACTTATTGAGTATTATTTTTTAGTGATGGATATGTAAATATTTTTAGGGTTAACACACATATATATTAATCACATAAAAAATTTGTACAGTATGGATACAAAAAAAATTTAAAGGTGGACACAATTAGTTAAGTAGGTGATTATCTGAAAAAAATTTAGATTTCAGAATAGGAAATTTAGTGGATCAGCCACTAGTTTCTCTTAAAAATTTCATTATGAACCAATCGAATCATACACAATCAAATAAAATTTCCATTTTTATTCGGTTCAGGGATGAAGCTAAGATCAAACATTGAGTGGGACTAATTTGCGTTACATCAAAAGAACAATGATCTATTAAATATTTTAATATAAAAATTAGAAATGACAAAGACTTTATTTTACTAATATTTAAATTAAAAAGACCTAAAATGCTACTATATCAAAAATTCTATTGACATAGCTCCTTCCACTTAATGATTTAGTCCCTTACTCGATTGACACTGTTGCAATATCTAAGAGGATGTTGATTTGAATGAACTTAAGCATACATTATATTCTGATAATAGAAGTTTGGATAATATAAGTACGGTACCAAAAAATCATTACCTAGATGTCAAAAAGTTTTCTTAGTTATCGACTATATGATTAAAACATGATCACGACTTTTGTTAGAGTTGTGATCCAATTTCTTCTTGGATCAGGCCCTGCAGTAAGGAGCTATTTAATCTGTTAGAAACTCTAACTCTTTTTCCATCTTTATGTTGACCAAGAAAGGAAATCTAGTTAGAGTAGGATTCTTCCTATGCAAGTTTCCTTGTTTCTTTTGTTACATATCCTATAAATAGAAAGTAGGGAATATGATTTTTGTGTGTTGAGAAAGAGTTAAAACAGTAGTGAAAGATCTTGTAATTTTCTCATTTTGAAAGTTTATTCTCGCCCGTGATTTTTCCTTTTTAGATTTTTCACTTAAATCTCAGTGTCTTTTATTTTCTTATTCGATCAATTCGTTTTCAATTAATCGTTTTGATAAATCATAACAAACTGATATCAGAGCTTCGAGTTCAAGATTATGATAACAATGAAGTATGATATTATTCTATTTGATCGAAACACCAGGTTCTCACATGGAAGGGGAAGATTTGGGATGTTTTTGCACAATTAGATCTAGACTATGCAATAGAAGAATTTGATGAGAATTCGACAACACAATGAACGAAAAAGGGTAAGGATCGTAAATCTCTTTCTCATATTTTTTTACACTTATCAAATAAAATTTTGTAAGAT